ATTGCTAACTTTCAAATTGACTGTTTGAGAAATTTCTCTCAATGTCATCCATATAGTATCATTCAGCAGATTTATTTGAATTTTTTCAAGTCATTCTGTCAAACGACAACTAAAAGTCATCTACACAATATTTCATATGTATTTTTTTACTTGACAACTAGTAAAGTTGCTTTGTTGACGTCAATTGAAACACTTAACAGTTGGATTTATTTACATTATCCGAATGAAAAAAATTGAACCCTTTAGAATGACCAGAAGTAGAAATATTTAAACTTCTTGTCGTTATGCTATTATTTATAGGCCACCCTGTATATAAAGATTAAATTTCGAAATAGAAAAAAAATAAACATTTAAGAAGAATGTTAAAAAAAACTCAATATTGCCAAGGGGCGGGGAAACCGCAAGATCTTGCGACACACCGTCACCGCCCCGCCGGCGGGGCGGGACGGGGCGGGGCGGTGCGGTGTGAAATCGCGGCTCGCTCATCTCTGGTAGAAACCTTTGCAATCACTGAATTTGTGTGTGATCGATGCAACAAAGTAAATTCACTAGGCTGCTGATTGACGAGCGATTATCAATTGATCGAGTGAACGGAAGTTGGTCATGGGTATCTATTTCATATCTGTCAAAATCTTTTCTAATCGGGATTTTAATTATATATTAGCTCTGTTTATGACGTTTAAAATAGTCTTTTTAGTCTTAGAAATTCTCCCAATAAGTTACTCATCAAAATCAAATAATCAAAAGCAACTATACCAAGTAAATTTCAGTGATGATTGATTGCAACTTTGTTGGGTGTTGTGTATGTCACAAGCGTCTGTTTTTTGTCGAATGATTCATTTTTTATTTTTGCCTCATGACAACATTTTACGCTCCATTTTTGTCTCTTTTTGCCTCCTTTTTTTTACGTTTTTCTTTTTGAATTCTTTTCGACTACATATTCTATTGAGAAGAACTGCACATAACAACAGTAAAACATTCAAGGTAAAGAACGCAAAACTATTGATTATAAACAAGAAAAAAGATTCATATTTATAACAAGAAACTCAATTCGTATTCGTAGGGGCTATAAACACCTGTTTTTATTGTAGTATAATATGTATGAGTTGGCATTGTTCAACAGTAAGCAACGGTTAACAGTCGTAAACTTCATTGAGTACCTATGAGAAGATCTGATTATCGAGCGCTAGTGGAATATGATTTTTGTATAATTGGTTTCGCATTTTATTTTATTCTTAAATAGATGAGACTTAGATGATTATAAACATTTGACAACTTTTCTATAAGTTGATGATAAATTGATAATTTTCAATATAATTAGTACTTTTCGAATTGAATTCATATTTTAGAAGATCTGATACATTCAACTTATTTCTTTAATATGAAAAAAATATGAAAACAAAAAAAACGTTCTCTTAGTGTTTATTTGAACTTGCAATTCAAAAATCATTTGCATTATAAAAAAAAAGAATATATTCAAAAAATTTGTGTTATTTACTAAGTAATGTATGCGAGAACAAACAAATCTTTTAAGATAGTCCATATGAATATAAAAATCAAAATTGAGAGTATGTTATTCTGAATCCCAGTGAATATAATTATAAGATCTTATTGAATACATTTTGTCAACTATGAAAGAAGAAGAAAGGTTTTTTAAACAAACGTATCAATTCAGACATATCATCAAATTTTTTTTTGATAGTATCTCGAAAATATAAGAAGCTGATACGAATGAAATACAAATTGAAACTCAATCTCCAACGCTTTTATCATAAATCTATCAGATAATATAGAGAAGTACACAAGATGAATCGAAAATTCTTTAATTGAAAAGAAAATTGAATATCTTCACAAACATTCAAACTGCACTCTCATATCATATCCTCAGATACCAAAGCCAAACTAAAGACAATTTCCGAATGCCAACACTTGACAACTAGCATTAGTTTTCGTGCATATTTATGCCATTATTTTGAGATTTTCAATCACCAAAAATTGATCTTTATACAAAAAACGTATGATATTCAGAATCACAGTATGAAAACAGACTGGACATATGGTATTTTTTTGTCGCAAAACATTTCCCATGACAATTTAACATACTGAGACATCGCAGGTGAACTTGTACTAATAAAAGCTCGAGAGAAAGTAGCGATCAAACTTTTATGAACATATTGTATGACGAAATAGAGAAGGATGTCAACATGAATGAAGCTAACAATATGTATAAACTAAAAAAAAAGAATTTGTCATCTGCCAATTGTTGATCTTATTTTAACTTCTTCAATTCATGGAGAAATATATATCTCGAATTTTGTTTTGTGACATTCAAGATTCGCCGAATTAAAACATGCTCCATAACATTAACAAGAAAAGTTTTGCACTATTAATACGTGCATCACGAGAACTATGTTTATAATAAATGTACATCAATGGAAAAGAAATCTTAGGTAACATGTTTTCAACAGAAACTGATGTTGAACGATTGATACTATCAACAGTTATTCTAAATGATACATTGACAACGATAAATATTATTAGGACGAATTAGTGATTCTAAAATTCATCTATCAACGATTTCTGCTCATATGTATGTTTACATACAGTTGACAAATAATGAAACGTCTCGTTTGCATTTTTTAAAACATGCTCTTAGTTTCAATTTTTTTTATAAATAACGAACATTGTTGCTATTTTTTCATGCATTGATGAACAACATGGGTTCTATAAATCGACAGCGATGTTGAAGACGTGAACTCTTTTTTTTTTTTTATTCAAAAGTAACGAAAAAAAAACACCATCATTGTAATGCATGTCTGATGCTTTTGTGCAAACACAGGAGTTTATTCCGCGAATAAAAAATTGTCCATAACGTTGATTGCATTATGATTCTGCTGGATTTCTTCTGAGGAGTGCAACAAAAAAAGTACATTAACAAAGAATAAACAAACGAAAGAAATACACACACTAATGCATTTTTATTATTGTTACCATCGTTTTTTTTTTCTTCCGTTCGTATCTGTATAGTGAGTGACAGTATGAAGGTAGCGAATGTAAATAAAGAAATGCAAAAAAATCCAATCTGCATTTTTTTTTGTTTCAGAGGGATTCTATCCCATCAAGAGCTTTTTGCTACTGTCTGTCGCTATACTATTGTTGAGTTGATAAGTTTGGATGAATAAAAATTGTTCATACATTACATCCATTTCGTTTCTCTTCATGGCTATTGATGTACAACCACATAATATCGCTAAAATCTAACGAATGTTCAAGGATTTGGGTGTGAGTTAGGACAGGATTTACATCCACACCCTAAAATTTCAACTCAATAAGTTAAACAAATGATTTTTCAAGCTCTGTAATAGCTTCTTCTATTCGAAAGTTTGTATCGTCAATAAGACTAATATATTTAGGTACTTTTTCATAAATATTCGCTAGAATTATATGAATCAAAGACAACCATTAACTATTGGATACTATAAGGAAATTCAAAACTGAACAATAGTGATTTTGAATTAATGTCTGTATCTTATTTATTTTGCCACATTGCAATCTATTCCATAAACTATTCAATTGATTATCCGTTCACTACATGCAGTGTGCATATAAAAATCAAGATAAAGAAATTAATTCAAAAGCACTACTTTTATTTATTTATTTTTTTGAATTTTATTAGTGTGTTCATTTTAATAATTTTGATTTTTATTATAATTGAGGCAAATTTCAAGTGATTTATATCAATATATTGAATACAATTGATTATATTCGATAAAAACTATTTTTCTTATTCATGTATGAAATATAAAGGATTTTAAATCTGTTTCTCATAATTTAAAATTTCAATCGTTCATTATCCATTTATACTTCTAGAAATATCTGTTGCATAACGTTTTCATCTTCATACAATTTGTTTTAATAGAATTCGACATTTTAAGGCAACTTCTCATTTGCGAATATAGATGAAATAATTTTTTAAATCTCATAAAATTATTTTCAAATTTTGGATTGATAACAAAGATGAGAAGTTCATAAACCATTTTTTTGTAAAATGATTGCATTTTTGAAAATTTGTTTTTCAACATATGATAAATACAATTGGATTTCGGAACTAAATTAAAAAAAAAATATTTTATTTAAACTTTTTCTGCAAGCCTTATGAGTTTGTTTTTGTTTTTAATAAGTAGAATATTTCATTGCAAATTGTAGCGAGTGTCAGCTTTTATAAAAAAATAAATACTTGATCTGTGTAAGATTATCGCAATTTATAGAGAGTGTCAATAGTTGCTGATTAAACAATTTTCATTGATGAACAATTGTTGAAGTAAATTATTATTTTAAAAACATACATTTAGTTGTACAATTGAAATAAGATAATAAGTCAATTTTGAACAAGATTCATCAATCTGACCGTTCGATGCTTGATTCTATCATTTAATAGGAACAAGAAGTTTTAATTAAATTGATTAAACAAAAGAACAAAATCATAGATATTCTATCTCTGATGTATAGGGACCTTAATCAACTGCGATTATAATTGTAAATATAATCAAATTTTATTACTTAAAAAACAAAATCCTTCATGTAAGTTAGTTAATTATGCACCCATGGAGTAAATTTCTGCGAAAAAAACGCGTTTTCCCATTGTTGCGAAACGCGTTAAACCGGTCAGCATTAATGCGTTTTACATCTGCTAACACAAATGCTGTGGAACGATTGTTTTTCTGAAAAATTTTTGCAGCATTTCTCTAACTGTGGTGCCGTATATTCTAGATGGAAAAGAAATTGAAACCGTCGGGCACCTCATGTAGCCTGGGTTGCAGATACCATTCATGTACTCATTTACATTTTTTCATAGACCTTTACAGCTAAAACTTACTACCACGGAAAAAATTAATGCAAATGGTATTTTTGGTCTAAAATAAAGAGTTAATGGTCAGAAGAAGTTTTCTTGGATACATACGAATAGTATAAGAATAGACATTTATAATACAAATAAAAATCTAATATGAAGATACAAACTGTTGATATACTTTTTGAGTCTTTTTAATACATGCTTGAATAACACTTAATGATAAACCATTTAAAACTTCATCGACAGCATTTTCTAGTTCACGTTGTGATTTAGGATTTTTGTTTTTAATTTTTTGTTTGATAATGTTCCAGACCAGTTCAATAGCATTAAAATCGGGACTGTAACCTGGCCACTCACATAATTCAATATTATATTGGTCACACAATTTCTTGAATTTAGTACTTCTGTGCCATTTAACTCCATCAGAAATATATAAAAATCCATTAAATTTATGTAAATGTTCAGATAAAGCTTCATTAACTGTATCACAATATGTATCACTATTTAACCAATTATCAAATCGATGGAAGATATAACCAGTCCACCAAATAAAACCAATTAAATTCACATGTGCTCGCAAAGATGAAACTTCCTTCTTGGGTGTTGGTTCTCCTCGTTTACACCAAACAACTTGTCGTGTATTTCTTAAACCCACATAACATTCATCTTCAAAAATATAATTCTTGATGTGAGTACGATGATGCAATGCAGCAAATTGATATCGTTTTTGTTCATTGATATTGGTGCTTTTGACTGTAATAACAGACTTACGAGGACGATAACCAAGAGATAAACGATAATTTCGTATCGTACGTTCGGTAGTGTTGAAGTGTGTGAGTGATAATAATTCAGCGGTAGTAGCTGATCGATTTTGTTGTATAGTTCGATCAAGTTGTTTAATTTGTGTTGAATCGAGTGCAGGTGGACGACCAGCATTATATCGATCTGTATAATTTACATCATTATGGCGACGATAATAATTAATGACGTGGTATATTGTAGTAAAGTGACAGTTGAAGGAACGTGCGACTCGTGAGACATTTAGAGAGCCCTTTTTCCACTCAATGATAATATACCAACATTGTTCTTCAGTTAGTTTATACATTTTCAATAAAATCATCGAGCAATGATCTGTACATATGCTCATGAATGAAAACGAGAAAAAAATCATTCAGAAAGAGATAGAGAAGCTAACAGATCCTTGTTATTTTGACTACGCAATCTATTTTTTTTAAATATACAATTAGTGTTTGAACAAAACCTATCTCTGAAAATTTACACATCAAGTTTAGTTTTTAATTTTTTTTTCTAACGGTGCAGTTCCTATCAACTCTACAAGATGTCAAGAATTCTGAACAAGTTGATGTGAGACTAAAATCGTTGAAAATATTTGATCTTGATATGATCCAATGGGAAAAAATATACTAGTGAAAAGGTTAAGTATGATAAACAAAATTTTGTCGAGATAATTACATTCAAAATTCTCAAGAAATGTTTCTAAGAATTGAGTTCACAAAACGAATAAAAAAATATCATTCAAGCTTTCGAAATATCTCATATTTCTTTATTATGTTTATTATTTTTTATCATGTTGCCTCACAGGCACATGTAGAGAATTTAGTACACGTATATGTTACAAAACATAATGAAAAAGAATAAACATAATAAAGAAAAATGAAGCGTTCAGAAAGATCGAAAAATTTTTATTCTTCTTTTTGTGAAATCAAATATTTAAAATATTTTTTGATAATTTAGAATTAAATTATTTTGACAAAATCTTTTTATTGTGATGAGTTTTAGCCGTCTTTCAACTCACGAATTTTTTTTTCATTACGTCATACAAAAATAGAAAATTTCCAGTTTTTATATTTGGAATCAAAAAAAGAGGAATGGCTCCAACATAATTTGGCCTAATACAAATAAGCTGTTTATGTTTTCGAGTAATAAAAATTATTGAATTAATTTGAAACTTTTAAGGCAGATTGAATCTAGAATGATTGAAAGAACAAATCATGTTATAACTAGAGGTTATACCACTGGACTTCAAAATTCATATATGCTCTATGAAAAACTATATTATTTACTATTTAATTTATTTTGAATCGATTTTTTTTTTCATATATCTCTATATAGAACAATACATGCTCGTGTCTCTTGCTATCATTCGTATGAAAAATTTTTCTTTTCGTTCTGTCACATGTGACCATTTACATTAATGCAACTGAAGGAACGAAAAACATATACAAAGACAACAAAAAAGTTATTCTTGCAGGGAATAGTATTTTAAAAATTTTTGCTTGGAACTACACCATACCTCGAGCTCATATTTTAGGGCAATACTCAGTTTTTTGCGCTCTTTCCAATGATACCACTCTCGTGAATTAGACTTTTAATCAATTTTTTTCGATCAGTTGATATGCTTTTTTTTCTAAAAAGGTACGATAGTGTCAAAAGTCGGTATTGATTAACTTTTCAAAGGAAAGGTATGGGAACCTAAAATTCTGGGATCGATAGTTTTAGATATTGATGCGTTGAATGAGCAAAAAAAATTTTATCAAGTGCCTTGTATAATGGAGTGATCCTCGATCAACTCGTAGAAGCTCTCTTAATTATTCGTTTAGATATTTTCACCAACAACGATGTGTTTTGATTTGTTGATATTACAATAAGTAGTCCTTAGTAGAAAATGTGTTTTATAATCAAAAATACAATTAAATCCTATCAGCTTTATTTCAGTTATATAATATTGATACAATAGATTTTTTTGGACGACAGAATGGTAATATGATTATATAAATCTGCATTAAAAACAAGAAGAGCCATAGATTTGCATGCTCATTATTTAGTATAATTATTGAAGATTCATCTCTAAAAACACGAAGTTTGTAATTGCTTTGAATCATAAAAAATAGATCTTTAAATAAAATTGAATTTTGTTCAAGTTCTTTCGTTAATACCTGTACAACGCAAAAAAAAACAAAAAACATGCGCTTTCTTTTTATGCAAGAGAAATACCTATTCATAGTTACAATACGTAATACCCTATTTTCATAGGTATAATTATCATGCCACGCCCTTTACGCTTTTAGAAAGATATACAGTACGACGACTATACAATTTTCTATAACGTAATTCATATCAATGGACAAATTAAAATATGAAATTAGTAAAAATGAAAATACTATATGTGAAATCAAACTTTATTTATTTTCTAATATTTCAATTCACTAAAGAATCATTTTCAAGTAAAATCCTCAAAATAGAAAACTAGAGCAAAGTTTTTTTTTTATCTTTCTCTTAAATATGCTTAGATAGAGCATCATAAGATGATGAAAAACATTACTTTTTATTTTTTTCAAATGAGTTTTCAGGGTATAAATTTTAGTTCTTTTTTTCGATGATCTTCTTTTTTTTTAAAATAGATTAATTTTCTATACTCAACAAATTCTCATATTCTTTCTTTCATGAAAATTTCAAATCTGCTGATATGAGATTCAGTGTGAAAAAGTGAATCTAGAAATATTGCTTATAAACGATTTTCCTAGATTCAGTTTTTCCACGCTTAATCTTGAAGAAACTATTTTGACAATTTACAAAAAACAAAAAAAAAATCAGAATTTGTTGATTATCAGAAATTGATCGTTTGTTTAGAAAAACTACGTCATTGGAATAAACTGAATTTTTTTCCTAAAAACTCATACGAAAAAAATAAAAATAAATATTCCATATCAGCTTGTCATGCTCTATCTAATAATATATAACAAGATTAATATTTCCTTTTTTGCCACATTACTTTAAAATGAGTCTTTGATTGACGAAAATATCGTAGATTGATTAAAATTGGATATCATATACATTATTTTCAATTTTTACTCAGTGTTTGGACAATATATATATATTATTTCGATTATTGCTTCTTATTACTATTCCTTGGAAATGATCCTTGAATTCATGGACATGTCCTAAAATAAAAATCATTCGATTGTACATACTCTATTTTTGTTTTTATTATTTTATTTTTTTTAATTAATCCATTTTTATAGAATATGGTATTTTTTCAAGTTTTACGTCGTGATGCAACAATAAATATAGTATTTCGATTATGAATATTTATTGTTTTAATCTGAAAATGATACTTCAATCGATGGAAAAGTCACAAAATACATAAACTTGATTTTTGATACACTATTGACATTGTTATTAGTTTCATTTAATTAACCTATTTGTTTATAGAAATTATCGTAGACGGAATTTTATGCAGTAGTTCGGACAAAGAGTATATTATTTTGATTATGTGTCGTTTTTTTTTGCTAAACTTTGAAAATGACTCTTTAATTAAATAAATTGTCGTGTAAATCATCAAAATTTGATTTTAAATAGTCTTTTTCATGTCTACTAATTAAATTTTTTTATTTTTCTATTTATATAAACTATGTTATTTTAAATTATACGCAATGATTGTACAACGAATATCTTATTTCTATTATCTGTCAGTATTGTTATTAAGGTATTGGCAATTAAAAATTAAATTACAATTAGTTTTTTTTCCTGTTATACATATGGTTAGATAGAGTATGACAAGCTGTTACGGAATATTTGTTTTCATTTTTTTCCTGAATGAATTTTTAGGGAAATAATTCAGTTTTTCCTCGATGACGTACTTTTTCTGAAAAAGAAGTCGATTTTTGATAACCAATAAATTTCGAATTTTTTTTGTTTCCTTCAAATTTCAAAACTGTTTCTTCGAAATTCCGCGTTAACAACTGAATCTAGAAAAGACAATAATAAGCAATATTTCTAGATTCACTTTTTCACACTGAATCTCATATCAGCAGATTTGAAATTTTCACGAAAGAAAAAATATGAGAATTTGTTGAGTATAGAAAATTAATCTATTTTTAACAAAAAAGAAGATCATCGAAAAAAAGAACTAAAATTTATACCCTGAAAACTCATTTGAAAAAAATAAAAAGTAATGTTTTTCATCATCTTATGATGCTCTATCTAAGCATATTTAAGAGAAAGATAAAAAAAAAATTTTGCTCTAGTTTTCTATTTTGAGGATTTTACTTGAAAATGATTGTTTAGTGAATTGAAATATTAGAAAATAAATAAAGTTTGATTTCACATATAGTATTTTCATATTCACTAATTTCATATTTTAATTTGTCTATTGATATGAATTACGTTATAGAAAATTTTATGCTCTTCATACTGTATGCCTTTCAAAAAGTCAAAAGAGCAGTGCATCATGATTGTATTTATGAGTCGTCATATGCTGCATCTAGCAAATAGGTATAGGTGTATAGCTTGCACTCAATAATATGATTTGTTTTTTTTTTGCGTTCTACATCTATAAAATCATCCTCCCTATTTACATGTATTATGGATCTATTTTAGGACTATCTTGAAAAATAAATAGTGAACGAATATTGTTGTTTTTATTTCTTGACTTGTAGGCTATTAAGTATAACTTTGATAATGATAGAAGTGAAATATATAAATAGTTTGCATTGTTGTATAACGTAGCAGTTTTTTTTACTGAATCGTGATATAAAAACCAATAATACAAGTAAGTTATAATAAAAGATATCTATTCAATTCCATTTTCATTTATATTTAATACAACAATTATAGGCGACGAAGATGACTACAAAAGAAGACTTGGCCAATATTCATGAACAAAAGCAGCCTGTAGTACGAGAATCTCGACAACAGTAAGAACATCCGAAGATTTGCATATATCCATCGTATCTACTCTAATACATTTCCTAGATCATGCCGGAAAATCAATCGAAATATAACATTCCATCAATATGTGTGCATTTCTTGGTTATTGGCGATTATAATCGTTGCAAGTTGTATTACACCATCTGGGTGTTATATACTAAGTAAGAATTTGAAGGATATCGTAGCTAAGGAGTGAAATAAGAAAACTGATATCGATCCAATTAAAATGATAACAAAATGTTCCCTGCGACTAGTACTGTTTAGTCTGCTTATAATAGAAAATCTTATTTTTCTTTAAATCGAAATATTGAATAGATACTTTGTGAAAATAATATCTCTCTAGAGAAATTTGTATCTTTCATACGATGAATAACA